TATTCATTGTCTCAGGCTCACAGCCATACACTTAAATTGGTTTTCTATACTATGTTTACATTTTATTTTCTGAATTTCTAATAATAAGGATATGTCAGTATTCTACATTTGGTAGAATACAGTTGTCTCTTTCTGTGGTATATTTTCCATCTGATGTTTTCATTCAGTTTTATTTTGTTTGTACAGACATTATTGTTTTTAAAAACTACAGCAGTATGTCATCTGGCAGCATTGTTGTATTCATGTCTGTAGCTGTTATGCTTAACTTTGTATGTGAAGTGAGGCCCTAAGTAATGGCTTTTAAATGGAGAGCTGATATACATTTGTATTACAGGTCTCCACAAATCTTCTGATTTCTTTTGTGTGTGTTTACTTTTAAGGGTGAGTCAGTCAGTCAGTAGCATGAACTTTGCAGAACCTTGCTCCCAAAACAACCCTCCGCAAAACTTCTTAATCACAAGCAAGATGTTAAAGGGTGGGTCAGTCAGTCAGTAGCATGTACTTTGCAGAACCTTGCTCCCAAAACAACCCTCCGCAAAACTTCTTAATCACAAGCAAGATGTTTAAGGGTGGTAAGAAACTATATTCAGGCTTTTTTTCTCTCCAGAGGAGGCCGCTAAAGTGCACTAGACGCTCTCACCTGCAGATCTGTAGGTGGTGGGTTCAGGTTCTGACCTTGGCTCCTAGGTGTACCCAGCCTTAAATGGGTAAGGTTCTGGGAAGTAAAGGCAGCCTGGTGATGTTGACCACATCAGCCACTGTGTGCCAGTTGGTCTATAAAATATAGGTCTAGCCACATATGCCCAATATGCTTGAGGTCGTGGAAAAAGTCCTTTACTTTTTCCCCAGAAGTTCACAGTGGAATAAGGTACAACTAAATATATTCTGTTTTGCTCTGGGTATACATTTTAAAAGGCAGCTGCTATTGTGTAGCACCTATCCACCTGCCTTCTGGCCTAAAATCAGGGGTTCACATACACACTGAAGCAAATTGTTTTTTTTCTTCGAAATTACTATACCTACCAGGTCAGCCCCCACCTGTAACGGGCACCAGTGTGCTGGGAAGTAAAGGTGGTCGGCGGTGATTTCAATTGCATTACATGTTATAGATTGCTGTATAAATATTTAGGTCTAGCAATATATACCAGTTGCTTTATGTTTAAAGGGTTAAGAATTGTGCATGCAGGCCTGTCCTACCTTCTGCCATTTTGGCCTGACTCTTTACCTATATTTCCAAGTTTATAAGTTATTGCAAAGTTACAGTAAACATTTGCATATTATTGGTTATCTGCAGGAGGGTTGTTCAACGGGTGGCCCACAAGTGGCTTGTGGATCATTGCCAGTTGAATTAATGATCTGCCTGTGTTTGAGCTCGAACCTCTGGCTCACAACTATCTCCATTTACAAAATGTTGGCCCTAAGTACACTTAGTTGAATAGCCCTAATGTGTAGTTCAGAACATCTGTTTTTAGGAAGATGGACTATATATAGTTGGTTTAGTCTGGGGTGCTAGTTCTTTGATATTGATTCTCGATATACCACGATTTATGTGTGGCGTTCTTTGACATTGGAATTTGACATAATGTGCAGCACTTATTTTAATAATTAAATTATTTAGAAGTAATAATGTTCATTTCATGTGCACATAGCTGTAATTATGTCCATATTGTATGTTTTCGTAAAGTTCTAATTATGATTAATTACCTAAGAAAATGGAGAGGTAATATTCTTGATTTGTTTATTACTTGTTTAAGACATGGAATAAGAATACAGTTCTAGTAATTAATTTATTTGTGTGTCTAAAACATGGAGAAATCATAGCTCTGTCTATTACTTACCTTAAACAATAAATTATGTTCTGTAATGTATTCATTGTCTGAAATGTGAAATCATATAGCTCTGTTTTTTTATCAATCACCTCAAATGAGAAATCATTTATTTTGATTAATTATTCATTACCTATAACTATGGGAAAATAATTTAGTTCTGTTTATTTTCATCATCATCACCATCATCATCCTTTGGGTGCCATTAGACGACACACAGGACTCACATTTTATTCCCCCTCTCCCCTCTATTGCATGCAGCTTTCTGTTTTTTAAATTTTATTATGGAGTTCAGCCCAGGAGTTATTGTCTCTCATAATAATGTTCTTCTGAATGTTTCCAGTGTTTTCCATTTCAGTGCTTCTTTTTTTAATTCCCTGTTCATTTAATCTGAGTGTTCCCAATATATCTTCACCTTCTTTGTCTCATTGCAGTCAATACAGGTATTTGTCCTGACATTTCTCTGACCCCTCACACATTTGTGAATTTATCTGTTTATTTTACAACCATTATTATTGGAACTATGCGCTGGCTGCTGAGTATGGTGATGGAGTGCATATGGGAATGTTCCCAAGTGCTATGATGTCCATTCTCAACTCAGCTCCTGTTTATTTAGGAAATCATTTTTTTCCTGTCATTGGTGTGAGTGTCAGAAAATATTACACAAACATTTTTTATTGGAACTCTGCGCTGGCTGCTGAAGATGAGGATGGAGCATGCATGGGAATGCCCCCAGTGCTGTGATGTCAATTCTTGACCCAACTCAGCTCATCTCAACTGTTAATTTTTAAAAATTTTAGTAGCCTTCTTTTTCAGCGGCTGGTTTAGGGTGGACCCTGCAGACATAATTAGAATGATGGAGACGGTTCTGTTTCTATGTGTGTGGATGTTGTTGAAGATTATTCTTTACACTGTAACTTGGCATTTGCATTTTGTGTCTTGTGTGAATTCAAATATTTGGCCATGATGTACCTAGTGAAGGCCAAGGGTATCTATCTCCACTTAGTGTTCCAGTATTGTAGGACATCCGTCTAAAGAAAACCCTAAAGTAAAAGTTGAAGCGATAGACCAAAGGTGCTGGACTGGAATCCCTACATGATTGCACAGGATAGAATGGAATGGAGCACCAGACTGCGAGCCCTATGTGACATAATGAATGGCACAACAAGACAATAATGATGATGATTCTTTGGAAGTGTCTTGTGTGGGATGTTCAGACATCAACACACACTTATTCTGTGATTTGTAAATGGTGGAGGTCTTTGCTTATGCTGTAACTACAGCCCTGTGGCTGAGGTGGAGAAAGTCTTTTCCAGCTCAGTATGGGATCCCTTGGCTTCTTTTTCAGATTCTGATAGCTTCTCTTCCGCTTCTGCTTTTGCCCTTGAAAGGTTGGTTGGCACATCATTTTGTGATTTGCAGGTTGATCCTCTTCTTGAAGTCCATGCCGTGTGGTGTTGATATTCATGTCTGTTTTGTCTTTTGTACATCAACTGTTGACACATGATCTTCCATGCTATGATGTCAAACTGTCCAGCATCTTTTTTTTTTCTCGTTTTCCCTCTGCCTCTCATCCCTTGCAACTTTCCTACTGTCACGATGTACTCCAGTTATCTTCTTTTCATCACATGACCACTAAAGAATGTAGATTGTCTCCCCCTGATGTGGGCAATCAGTTTTCTTTGTGAGTCAGCTTCTTTCAAGACATCTTCATTACTCTTTTTATCTGTCCAGGATATTCTCTGCAGCTTCCAAATTAGTTGTCACTAATTTACCAGCTGTCCATGATTCACTTCCGTAAATCAAGATAGGATTTATATAGCTGTTGAGATAGACAGTGGTATTTGAACTTTTTAGACCAACAAAACCAATCTTAGCAACCTAATAGTAAGACCAATGCACATCATCCACTGCTTGGGATTGAGAAAGTTTACCTTTAACCACAGACAGGAGAACAGAGTAAATGTTTCTGTACATTCTATTAGTGTTCATATGACTACATGGGAAACATTCACATAAACCAGTGTTTAAAAAAAAAGTTTTTACAGTCTGAAAATTTAAAGGTAGAGTGGCTTACGTGTTTTTTCTCTCAAAGTCATATATTTTTTCCCAACCATTTTGATAAGGAAATTGCACCTTTCTCTTAAAGTATGTTGTAGGGAATGAGGTAAGATTGAGTGAAGCAGAGTGAGCCATTCTCTTGGTACAAGTGTCTTTCTGAATTGCTGAGATAGGACACTTTAATCTTGTTCCAGAACTTGAGTTCTGCATGATGCAGATCTGTTTTACAGATTTGGCTTCCCTGTATGCAGACTGTTGGTTCCTTACCTCTCAGACAGATACACTCTGACTTTGAAGGAAATTCACCAAATAAGATGACTTACAACATGCTTGTTAATGGGGCAGTAGGTATACCCCCCCACACACACACACACGCACGCGCACACACACATATTGGGACCTCTAAACCCATACAGCGAAGATAAGTCACTCTCAGAAAGACATCCCTATACCACCTCTCGGTCACCCTTTATTCTTTGATAATAATATATAATCATTACACCTGCCTGTGTCTTGTAGGGTGACGCTTATTTTGCGGGTTTATTTATGTTTAGTGCCTTTTCTGGCGGATAGACCCCCAGCTAACTCTTGACAAGTCTTTTGTTGACCTATTCAAAATTGGCTGGATTTTTTTTAGCCATTGCTCTCCACAGGATGTGGCGAAATAGTTCAGTTTCGGAGACTAGATACTGTAGATAGGCTGTGTTTATGCATATTGTAGTGTAGTGTTTTTGAAACTATTAAGATTTCCTAGTTATGTAATCTTTGTAATTAAGAACAAGTAAATAACATGCAGTTTTATTTCCTTTTAGAGCATAATACAATTAGTTATAATTGTTTACATGTATGTTTCTGATTATCAAGAAAATACATATGTTAACTTTTTCCAATCAAATGCTTTGATTTGTTTTTGACATACACATGGGAAACTGTCTGCCACTGGTGCATGAGGCCTGCTGGAGGCAGTACCATCAGTACTACATCCCATGTTTGTTTTGTTTTTCTTTTTGATGATGTCAAAGCTTTTTTTTACTCTGTGTGTGTCTACCCAGTCCTAACCTGGGCGTCAGAAATGTTTTTTTATTGGATCACGCTTTTCTCCCCCCATTTTAGATATCAATATAGTGTCTCAGCCTAAACACAGAAATGCGCAGAAGCGCTCAGCAGGTGCGAAGACTGTAAACAATACGTAAGTAGCATTTTTGTGTGGTCAACTTTAGAATATATTTTTTGTGTGTGGTCAACTTTACAGACATCAATTTTTTTGTGTGTGGTCAGCTTTAGAGATCTTTTTTATATATTCAAGTTTAGGTACATCTATTTTTGGCATGGTAAACTTTAGCGACATCTTTTATGTGGTCAGCTTTAGAGACAACGTTTTTTGTTTGGTCAACTTTAGAATCTTTGTGTTTGTGGTCATCTTTAGAGACATCTTTGATTCTCAGCTAGCCTTTTTATCTTCATCTGGACATTTTTATGTGGTTAATTAACTATTGTGGTATCAAATTTGTTTTGTTTTGTTGGTGTATACACTTTTAGAGACATCTTTTTTTTTGTGAGGTCAAATTTAGAGACATCTTTGACACCTAGCCAGTATTTTTGTCTTCATCTAGACATTTATATGTGGTCAACTTTAGAGACAGCTTTGACACTCAGCTAATGTTTGATTTTCTACATCTAGACATTTGAATAGTGTCAATGTTGAGAAAGCAAATGCCTTTTAAAAAAATAATAATAATGTTTTAATTTTACATTTGCCTATTATTATTTTCAAGTTTGTATGGTGGCACTTATTATATATATATTTAAACTATATTCTTACATTTTATGTGGCAGTTTAAAAAAAAATATATAAATAGAACATTTGTTTGCTTTCTGAGCTGGGTTTGTTTTTTCCCTTGCTAGCAGCACACACCGAGCTGAAAAATGTTTGATGCACCTAGCTGTGGGGTTAGCAAACGGAAGAAAAAGGATTGAAGTTGATAGAGACTATCTGGAATTTGAATGGTTACTGGTTTTGCTAGTTGCAATACATAAGCTGACAAATGTTCCGTCACATTAGGAGAGTAGTAAATTACTTTGTTATATCATAATTTCACAATCATTGATTGTCAAATATAAAATTATAGCAAGCTAGTTAAGGATTTGGCAAATTTGTAGTATGTGATCATATTAATCAAAGCCAAATTGTCGTTAATTAGAGCAAAGTATGTGCCCCCCTTTAAAAAAAAAATTTCTTTTTATTCACCTGGCATTTTGGTCTTATACTGTGATCATATTTTATATATTTTATAATATCTAGGTTGAGATTGTATAACTAGACCACATTTCTGGTCTTTGTCCGTTAAATTGACTTTGATGGGTCAAACATAAGTTCATGGGGGGGGGGGGGGGAGTCAAACCAAACAAGAGCATCTGTTTTTAAATGTTAGGAATGCAGTATAAATGTCTTTATGATTTTATTAACACACATTAATGAAATCTTTTATATGGATTTGTGAGCTGCTGTTGTGTTTTTATAAATGTACTTCACAGTTGAAGAGGCTGTGTCAACTGGTGGTAATTTTTTAGTTTGTAAATATATTCCCGTAATTTTGTACTGCTTCTTAAAAGCTGGAATTTGAGTAGAGATTCTGGAAAAATTACTTGAAGGAAATACTGTTTTCATATATTTGTAATATATATTTATCATAGAAAACCATCTAGCATTCAGCATTAGGTCAGTCTGTCTCTAGTTAACATTGGCCATTCAATGTGAGGATCAAGGAGTGCAAGACTTTCATATTCAGTCATCGCTCTGTAGAATACATCCAGTCAATCTCTAGAATTAATGAAACTGGTGAGGCATCATTCTTTTTAGTTTATTCATTCATTCATTGCACTTCATATGCAAATCAAGTCTCCGTGGTAAATCCATCAGCGTACACCAACAAACTGTACTGGATTCTGTAAATGCGTCAGGATTATATAAGTGAAAGCAAACTGAGCTTAGTTCCATAACTTGTTAACTATGAGCCACATCCATCCACTAAGACTGCATTTTTTTGGGGGGGTCACCAATGGTTCCATTAGAATTGTTTTATTTTTAGGGTGCTAAGACAGTAACTGTTTTAACCCTTTTGTCCCAGAAGGCCAATTTTTCAGCTTTCCGTCCGTTACAAATTCCCAGTGAAGCCTGTATATAGGATTTGCTACATTGGCCAGTTGTCCCATGCAGGATTGGTTCTGTTTGTGCCCAAACAGTGTTTAGGTGGGTCGGAAATGATTATATTTACTTTAAAAAAAATATCATTGTGTGGTATTTGGAAGAATTGCTTTTTTTCAAGTCAATATGAGGTCATAATGTGTCTTCAGCCTTTAGTGGTCACATAGGGACATCACTAGAAAATATTTGAGAGCCAGTGTAATATATTCAGTTAAATTGTCCACTACAAAAATATTTATTGATTACTCCCTGACCCCTTCATGTATTTCTAAAAACAAAAATTTACATATCAATAAATTTGTAAAAAGTGTGTTAGTGAGTGACCTATGTAAAATGATTATTTTGAAGGATTATGGGGGGGGGGGGATTCCTGGATTTATGACCTTTTCCCCAGGGTTTCTGGGATGAAAGGGTCAAGTTTAAAAAAAAAATTGCTCCTCAAAGCATTTTGCTGTCTTTGCTGATTTACAGTTGTCAGTTCCCGTGATAAGCTCAACCATCTTTTTGATGTTTTTTTTTTTGTATCACACATCTTAAAATTAGTACACCTGATATTATAAAATCGATCTTGATTTTCATTGACTATGCCACTTACATTTTCTCAAGTGGATATTGCCTGATGTTATTTTATAGGATGTTTATCAGTTTCATTGACTCTTATGTTTTGTCATTTGCTGGTCTAGAGTTTGCTGCACATTCAAAACATAAGCTCAGTTAACAAATTGCATAAAAATTGATATTGAATAATTTTGTTTGCTTTCTGTTTTCTGTGATGAGGTAGATGGCTTCACTCTTTGAATTAATGTTGCTGAAATAGTGTTTCTAGTTGCTGATTTGTAAAACAATACTTTTGTTACAGTCCTCCCAAAAAGACACGACCTGACGCTGCGGGAACCAACCAATCGCTGCAGAGAACTTTGGTGACGCTCAGTACTGTCAGTACAGAGGTTCCGAATAGAGTAAGTGTGCTTTCTGTTGAGAGAGTGGGTACACATAGTTCTCAGAGTGGCAAGTATGCGTTTTATAGACTGGGAACACATAGTTCACAGAGTGGCAAGTATGCGTTTAGATAGACTGGGAACACATAGTTCAAAGTGGCAAGTATGCGTTTAGAGAGAGTGGGAACACATAGTTCAAAGTGGCAAGTATGCGTTTAGATAGACTGGGAACACATAGTTCAAAGTGGCAAGTATTCATTTAGATAGACTGGGAACACATAGCTCACAGAGTGGCAAGTATGCGTTTAGAGAGAGTGTGAACACATAGTTCACAAAGTGGCAAGTATGGGTTTAGATAGACTGGGAACACATAGTTCAAAATGGCAAGTATGCGTTTAGAGAGAGTGGGAACACATAGTTCACAGAGTGGAAAGTATGCGTTTAGAGAGAGTGGGAACACATAGCTCACAAAGTGGCAAGTATGGGTTTAGAGAGAGTGGGAACACATAGTTCACAGAGTGGCAAGTATGCGTTTAGAGAGAGTGGGAACACGAAGTTCACAGAGTGGCAAGTATGGGTTTAGAGAGAGTGGGAACACATAGTTCACAGAGTGGCAAGTATGGGTTTAGATAGACTGGGAACACATAGCTCACAAAGTGGCAAGTATGCGTTTAGAGAGAGTGGGAACACATAGTTCACAGAGTGGCAAGTATGCGTTTAGAGAGAGTGAGAACACATAGTTCACAGAGTGGCAAGTATGGGTTTAGAGAGAGTGGGAACACATAGTTCACAGTGAGATTTATACGGGTTTTGAGAGTCCGAACACATTGTTCACGAAGAGGCAAGTATGGATTTGAGAGAGTGGGAAAACGCTGTTTACAAAGAGGCAATTATGGGATTAGAGATGGGGGCACACTGCTCACAAAGAAGCTAGTTTGGGTTTTAGGGAGTGGGAACACATTGTTCACAAAGAGGCGGGTATAGGTTTTGAGAAGCTTCCAGTAACAGTTGGAACACATTTGTGCAGTGATAATAAATTTGTTATTGACCAGAATCTGGAATCAGATGTATATTTATCAGTTGGATTTTTTGAAGTCATCCGGGCCATATTTTTGTTATGTTTTGTTTTAATTTCCAGATAACATGCCCACATAACTGTATGTTGTTTCTGATGAATTTATGGCTTTCGTCTATTTCTTGTTGACTTTTTGTTTGTTAATCTGTTTCTGCTTTCTTGTTCTTGAAATTTTTCACATATAAAATACAGTTGTTGTGGGAAAGATGAGTGGAAAGGCTGAATTAGGTTCATTCTTCTTTATCTTCCTCCTCCTCGTCTCCCTACTTCTCATCTTCTTCTTCTTTGTCAGAAAACATATCAGGGAACTAGTGTCTTTAAAAGAAAATCTAAATCCTTTCAGAAAACTTATCTGGGAACTAGTGTTCTTGAAGAAAAACAATATAAATCCTCTCAGAAAACATATCAGGGAACTTGTGTCCTTGAAGAAAAGCAATATAAATCCTCTCAGAAAACATATCAGGAACTAGTGTTCTTGAAGAAAAACAATATAAGTCCTCTCAGAAAACTTATCAGGGAACTTGTGTCCTTGAAGAAAAACAATCTAAATCCTCTCAGAAAACATATCAGGGAACTTGTGTCCTTGAAGAAAAACAATCTCAATCCTCTCAGAAAACTTATCAGGGAACTAGTGTCCTTGAAGAAAACAATCTAAATCCTCCCTGTATACCATTAAATTTTTTTTTATTTTATTACGGCTTAATCATGATTGAGGTGGGGTCAGGCCATTTATTTATCAAGCCTGTGGCACAGTACATTTTACTTTGACATTTTCTCAGCACTTGAAGGAGAGATATAAAACGAAACGAAACATATATCAGTGAACTTCACAGTGTAACAAACACATACAAAACGTGATAGCAAAACGTGGTGCCTTCATCAGCGCATACATAAATCAACAAAACCTCACAAATACACAAAGTCTCTTAACTCACATATTCAGATGCAGCCATGTTAATGTCTTACAAGTGCAATGTAAAGAACACACTTAACCAGAGAATATATACCCGTAGAATGCCAAAGGCTGTAACGCGAGAATTTTAGATGAAACTGTGTTGACAGTTCAGTCCTATAAGCGTTAAAGTTCCCAATATGTAAATAAAGCAATTTTCAAGAGACTTGCAGGCTCTGTCTGTTGCTGGAGTGGCCAGATTAAGTGACTGTCACCTCCATGTCGTGGACACCTTGGTGATCCATTCTCATCTTCTTCTTTTTTTTTTCTTTCTTCTTTTTAGCAATTGACTCTTCCTAATGTCAGCAGGTGTGTGTCAGTCTAAAGTGACTACCAGGAGATGTTTGTAGGAAGTAAAGGCAGCCAGTATAATATTGACATCACTCATTGAGTGCCAGTAGGTCTATAAAATATGAAAACTGGCATCATGTACTGATAAGTCAACTACTTATTACTTGTTATCTGTATCTACATCCCAACACATCAGTCTGACCCATTCATGCTCCGTTCTCCAGTGCAGCAGCCACCTCACTGTACCAAGTACGAGTTGATTGGCATATCTTCTTCTTTCTTTGCCCCACAGCCTGGTTTCTGCATGCTTGTCCTTGTGTATTACCAATTTCTAACAGACATTTCTTCTCTGACTCCTTTGTCTTAACATCTCTGGAACACAGCAAGTCAAGCTATGAAGGATGCTCTAGCCACTTGTACTACCAACCTTTTTAAAGTTGTTACACTGGTGTTGAATCTTCTCAGGTGACAGCGAAGCCGGCGACTACCAAGTCAGCAGCATCAACAGCAACCAGCAAGACCGTCCCAGCGGGGGCCAAAGCTCCAGTCGTAGCGACAAGCTGTGAGTGCTTCTGATTAATCCCTGCAGCATTTCTTGTACACCTCTGTGTTTGCTTAAATGCTTGTTATAAATGTCTTTTTGTATCTTCTCATTCTACTTTTCCTCCTCTTCCCAGCTCCTCCTTTGTTTGACTACTCTCCTTCTGCTTCATCTCCCTCCTTCACTTCTTCTTTATCATCATCATCTTCTTCTTCTTGTATCTTACTGCTTATGCCGTCAAGTATTGCAGAGAGGAGTTATATGTAGCTTCCTGTCTTTTGCTAGTTGCGAAGCTTGTGTTAATTTCATATTGTGTGTATTTTACTCCCTCCACCCATCTCTTTCTTGGTTGGTCTCTTGACTTGTAGCCTCTGTTTTCATCTAATACACTCTATCTGCTGGCTAAATTTGTTCCATTCTGACCACATGACCAAACCATTTGGTTCTCTGGTGTTCTGTCATTCACTGTGAAGGGAATCCATTTACACAACAGCTGCCCTACACATGCCTCTAAAACAGCAGTCGATTTTATTCCCTATTCAGTTCCTGCCTGCTCTCTTGGACTGCTTGCAGTGATATTGTTTCCATGAATATATTCACATCCGGGCCTCATAAACATACGCAGGCGCAGAGAGAACGTGGCATTTAACTCACTTTTTCTAGAATGGGTCACTGAAGAAATGGCGATGGGCATTTACCGGATTGTGTCGCAGCTGGAAGTGACTAGATTTAGCCTTCTCGGGGTCATTAAATTAATAATCAGCAAAGAGCTTGGCTTGATTTGATTGACGGCTATGCTTCATAAGAAGTTGAATGGCAAAAGGAGCTACTGTGTCTGAACTGTGCAGTCATTCAAGCATATATTTTAAAGATTTTTTTCTCTTGTTTGTTAATTTTCCTTTTATGTCAAGAAAATCATTAAGAGAATAAACAAACACAGTATATTGAGGCTGTTTTAGTGAGGTTAGGACAGTTAGATAGCTGGTTAGAGAGTATAGCGTACATGAGAGTGAATCAATAATTAAATTATCATAAGTTGTAGGTGAAAAATGCAGAGATTAAACAACATGAAGAACCTATGGCAAAGCGCTAGTAAATTGGTTTAAGTAAAAATCTTGAGATCATACATTTTTCCTGTGGCAATTTACGGTTGCGAGTCCTCAGTCACAGAAAAAAAAAAAATAGGAGCTTTTGAATTGAAATATAGAAAAATTCTTAGAATACCATGGATCAATAAGATGAAAAACATATAGACATTCTTCCCCGTGTGGGTTCCGGGGCCCCATTCTGGGGAAAACAAGAATAGACCCACTGCCTCCACAAAAGCATGACGTAAGAGTCGACTAATTGGGGAGCTTCCTTTGAAGTCGGAGTGCATCTGCCGGAGAGGCAAGGAACCAACAGTCTGTATTCAAGAGAATGAGATCTGTAAAACTGATGCACACGCAACACTCAGGTTCTGGAGCAGGACTGCAGTTCAGTAGTGGACGAGCAACCAGAACTTTCCGCCAGAGTGTACAGCTGGTGAACGCGAAGAAGAAGAAGATAGACATTCTAATCGATTTGAACATCAGGGAGAACTGGCTCATAAACATCATCCTGTCCTGAAATTTCAAGTATCTAAGCCACATCATGGGTCATAGTGGCTTAGAAAAGATGGTGATGAAGTGTGCAGTTTGTGGAAGGCGAGGCAGGGATTGACCATAGCAAAGATGGTGATGAAGTGTGCAGTTTGTGGAAGGCGAGACAGGGATTGACCATAGCAAAGATGGTGATGAAGTGTGCAGTTTGTGGAAGGCGAGGCAGGGATTGACCATAGCAAAGATGGTGATGAAGTGTGCAGTTTGTGGAAGGCGAGGCAGGGATTGACCATAGCAAAGACGGTGATGAAGTGTGCAGTTTGTGGAAGGCGAGGCAGGGATTGACCATAGCAAAGATGGATACAGGACATAGAAGAAGCATTGGCGTTCAAAGCACATGGGGCTGGAGAGCTGGCTAGGGAAAGGGATACTTTCAGTCGTGCTGTGAAGAGAGCGACATTCTGTAAAGGTCCTGCTGATTGATGTTGCAGGTGAAAGATCCCAGATATGAAATCTTTAGCCAAAGTTAGGATGTTCCCACACGAGAAATGTGAAATGCAAAGTTTCAGTTCGTGTGAAAGAGTGAACATTGTGGACCCATTTCTTGCAAAGGAGTTGCTTGGGCAGAGAGAAGGTGAGATCATCCTGTTTGAGACGTCCGGATGAGCAGGGTGTGTGAAGAAGGCAAGTAATCGTTAACCATTGTTATCTGGGAACTTGTAGTGAACAGTATATTTCATGAATGCTTGATGGCAGTTTTGTGTGATGATTGAAATCTCCCCCTACAGGGCCAGATGTGCTCATCTGTGGAGTGTGCAAGCTTCAGTTCACCAACCTACACAGCCTGGCTCAGCATAAGAAAATACCCTGTCAGCTGCGTGTCAGCACACAAGCTAAACAGGATCCTGCCACAGACTCTGGTATGTACATCCTACACTTTTATAAAGTCAGGCTGCGCTATCACAGTTCCGCAGATACCAAAAAAAAATTAGTTTATGCTGTTTAACCTTATTAATCAACAAGGAACGCATTCATGTATTCATAGGTTTCTACGTAGAAGCCCAATGAACGCAAGATGTGGAGATTTTACGTTTCTTTTTATTACCCTTTGGATCTTTGAAGCTAAACCTCCTGGGACTTACAGAATTAACTGATCAGGTGTCATCTTCCCAAATAATTTGGCTGCAAATGATCTCGAACATTTCATAATCTGCCTCGGATTTTTGTCTCTGAGAAAGCTGTCCATCCATTTCTTGATATTTCTCAACTTATATTGTTGTCTTGTTAGGAGTACCAGGGTCTTGTACCTGCAAAGATGCAAAACACCTGGTAAGGACATAATATCCACTAAATCATTCCTTTACGTGATGAATGTCAGGGTTGCACATCTTTTGTGTTTCTGAATCAAGGAAAGTCAGGTAGCTATTATTCTTTGTTCTGTGTCAAAGACAAATCATACTATAATATTTCCTCTTGAATCTTTATCAAGAGCTTCCCATTCTTGCGGACATGTAAGTGGATTACTGATATATTTCCTCTGTTACAGGAGATGCTGACGAACCTCTGATCCTGATTTGTGCTGTCTGTGAGACAGAGTTCACTTCTGCTTGGGCTCTCTGTGTCCACTGTACCGAGGAGCACAATTTGAGCATTTACAAGACAGAGGTGAGCTCATGTGTTTTTTGTCGGTTTTGCGCACCTAGAGACATGCAGGGATAGTTGGTCACCACATATCATCTTCAGAAAGTAAGGAAAACGCATGTGCACATACATAAAGCTAGTGACCGAAGGCACAGACGACAGGGGCCATATTTAACTGGGTACAGTGACATTGAGCTAGCTGGTGATGTGGTAATACTTCATAAAACAGGTTTATCTCTGCAACTACTTATATATGTATGTTTTCTGGATGATTTATTCTAAATGAGCCAATCCTGATGTATGAAAGTGAATCATGGACACTCGGCCAATAAGTGAAGAATTATGTGGAAACTTCAGAGATGCGGTTTTACAGATGAAGAATGAGAACATTGAGGGCAGATAAAAAGTGTAATGAAAATGTCAAAAGATAAATTTTCTCACCAAGAGATCAGTTTACTTGCACCAGGAAAAGACAGCTGGATTCTTTGGTCACATGGGGGGGGGGGGGGGGGGGGGGGGGTATGTTAATGGAAATGTTCGAAGGAAAGAGAGGCAGAGGGAGACCAGGAGAGAAGAATGTGGACAGTTTAGGATCATGACGTGGGTGATCATCTGTATCAGAACTGATTGAAAGTACAGGAGACAGAAGGCTGTGGATAGACACAACTACCAAAACCACACGGCTTAGTGACAAGAAGATGATTTATTGACATGTCATTGACATTTTACAATAGGCTGCCCTGAGTGGGGGAAAGGAAAGGAATCACATCCCCCCCTAACAAGCGTGTCGTAAAAAGGGTTTAAATAGGAATTTTTCCGTTTGAAGTTGGAACTATTTGCCTATGAGTCAAGGAACCAATAGTCTGCACATAAACAAGCCAGGTCTATCAAACGGATGTGAACACAAAATTCAAGTTTTGGAACAAGACTGAAGTCCTGAAGTGGATAAATAATCCAGACTTTGCTTGTGAACATTAAAAAGAAGAAGAAGATTAGGTTGAATAATAGTTAAAAACCCTTGTTGTATAATAAAAGGTATAAACCCTTGTATAATAGTTCTAAACCTTTTTTGTAAAATAGTTATAAACTCGTGTTTTATAACCCTTGTATAATAATTATAAAAACTTGTATAAAAGTTAAAAACCTTTGTTGTAAAAAAGTTATAAACCCTTGTTGTATAATAGTTATAAACCCTTGTATAATAGTTATAAAAACAACTTGTATAAAAGTTATAAACCCATGTTGTATAAAAGTTATAAACCCTTGTATAATAGTTATAAAACCTTGTATAATAGTTATAAAAACTTGTTGTATAATAGTTAATAACCCTTGTGGATTTTGTTGGTTCCACAGACAGCTGAAAATGTTGATGGTCAATAGTGGACAGATGTAAACACTGGGAGATTCAGTATCATCCACTGACCAGTAGCTTCGGTCATTTCCTTGAATGAATTGTACCTATAGATGATGATGGCATTCACTGTTTACCAGTTGTACATGGGTGCGGGGGGTATGAACTCTGTGAGTCCCAAGCAACATCTAATGTACGATTATAAAATATTATCCGCATATGTCAAGCAATGGGTCGTGTGCTAATTAATCAGTTCAGTTTTGAATTCAAAATTCACGGGTTAATTTTCAATTTGGTCGAGTATGAAAGAAATCTGGCAGGATAGTATGTTTTTTTTTTTAATACATGGTGTAATAAAGATGAAGTCTATTTTAAAATCACTGGACTCTTTTTTGAGTGTGGTTATTGCCTGTTTGGATTTATGCTGTGAAATCTCCAGTGCTGAAAGAAAAAAAAAAACTTGGTTCAACAGTGTCTGTTGGTTTCTTTCCTTTTTAGAAGACATAATCAAGACGCCCATAATGACATCATTGCAAGAGTCTTTGTACTTCACCAGGGCCAAATATAATATATAGCTGGAATGAAACATACATACATAAGTTGCCAGATTTATCAAGTATGATCTGACTAAAAATAAGAAGTGCAGTCGTAGATGGTATATGGTTTGGGACAAGAATTGTTGTTTTCGGGCATACTGGGGGGGGTTGGTCATGTTAGCAGTTTCAGGAGACAAGATCTGTTTGTTTCTGCAAGCTGATGGCATTCTGCATGTGATTGTGTGTAGTTTTTAGCCAGCATTAGTTTTATGAAATGTGGTAATTCACATTGCTTTGTGACTGGAATGTTAATAATTGTATCTGAGCACTCCTATCCTTAGCAGTGACCATACAGGATTATCATAAGACTTATGAATTGATCCTGTAGAAAATCTGATCTGTTAAACTCAATCTGCCGTGAACAAATGGAAATACAATGAACAGGATGAGATGAGCCACATAAAATTGCAAAACGTGCCTTTAGTTGATCGAGATCTGTACTTGTTTTGAGGAATAGAAGACAGGAGACCGCAGAAAATATTCAGTGTCCTGTTCCTGTTACTGATTGTTATTATAACTACTGTGTTCTGCTGCATTGTTATATTTCTTATCTTTGATTCATTTGGTAATCTTATGTATGGTCATCAGTGACTGACAGCAGTTGTCTGTCCTTGAAACTTGTAGGACTTATCACAGTTACCAAGGTGAATCTTAGACATTTCGCGGCAACAGTAGATTGAGTCTGACGTAGCAGAGAGTGCTTTTTATCTGAGATTAACAGCATAATGCTGAACTGTTATTTTATCCACGTCAGTAATTTTCAAATATTCACTTTTTTCCATTGAATTTTTGTGCGTGACTCTGGTTGAAGGAATAAATGTATTTTAACATTTTGATTGTTTGTTTAAAAATATCCAGCCTTATCACACCTGACTCAACAGTTAGTACAGCAAAGCACTTAACTCAGTGGGTAATACAGCACAGGACCTGACTCAGTGGGTTATACAGTACAGCCCCTGAGTCAGTGGGTAATACAGTATAGCATTTGATTCTGTGAGTAATGCAGTATAGCATCTGAGTCGGTGGGTAATACAGTATAGCATTTGATTCTGTGAGTAATGCAGTATAGCATCTGAGTCGGTGGGTAATACAGTATAGCATCTGAGTCGGTGGGTAATATGCATTATAGCATCTGAGTCGATGGGTAATGCAGTATAGCATCTGAGTCGGTGGGTAATACAGTATAGCATTTGACGCTGTGAGTAGTGCAGTATAGCATCTGAGTTGGTGGGTAATACAGTATAGCATTCAACGCTGTGAGTAATGCAGTATAGCATCTGGGTCGGTGGGTAATACAGTATAGCATCTGAATCTGTGGGTAATACAGTATAGCATCTGAGTTGGTGGGTAATACAGTATAGCATTCGACGCTGTGAGTAATGCAGTATAGCATCTGGGTCGGTGGGTAATACAGTATAGCATTTGATTCTGTGAGTAATGCAGTATAGCATCTGAGTCGGTGGGTAATACAGTATAGCATCTGAGTCTGTGGGTAATACAGTATAGCATCTGAGTCGGTGGGTAATATGCATTATAGCATCTGAGTCGGTGGGTAATATGCATTATAGCATCTGAGTCGATGGGTAATGCAGTATAGCATCTGAGTCGGTGGGTAATACAGTATAGCATTTGACGCTGTGAGTAGTGCAGTATAGCATCTGAGTTGGTGGGTAATACAGTATAGCATTCGACGCTGTGAGTAATGCAGTATAGCATCTGGGTCGGTGGGTAATACAGTATAGCACCTGTTTATATGGGTAATGCACTATAGCCCCTGACGCTGTGGGTAATACAGTATACCATCTGATGCTGTGGGTAATACAGTATACCATCTGACGCTGTGGGTAATGCAGTATAGCATCTAAGTCGGTGTGTAATACAGTATAGCATCTGAGTCTGTGGGTTATACAGTATAGCATCTAAGTCAGTGGGTAATACAATATGGCATCAGAGTTGGTGGGTAATACAGTGTAGTCTCAGACTGGGTAGCGCAGTATAGCCACTGGCTGAGTAATGTAGTATAGCATCTGACTCACTCGGTAATACAGTATAGCCACTGACTCTGTATAGCCCCTGACTGTGGATAATACAATATAGCACCTAACACAGTAATACAGTATAGCACCTAACTCAGTAAAACATTATAGCACCTAACTCAGAATACAGTACGGCACCTAACTGAGTAATACATTATAGCACCCAGCTCAGAATACAGTACGGCACCTAACTGAGTAATACATTATAGCACCCAGCTCAGAATACAGTACGGCACCTAACTGAGTAATACATTATAGCACCCAGCTCAGAATACAGTACGGCACCTAACTGAGTAATACATTATAGCACCCAGCTCAGAATACAGTACGGCACCTAACTCAGTAATGCATTATAGCACCTAACTCAGAATACAGTACGGCACCTAACTCAGTAATACAGTAGAGCACCAAACTCAGTGATACGGTATGGCACCAAACTTAGTAGTACAGTACGGCACCTAACTCAGTAATACAGTACATCATCAAACTCAGTAATACAGTGTAGCATCAGACTCAGTAATACAGTACGGCACCAAACTCAGTAATACAGTGTAGCATCAGACTCAGTAATACAGTACGGCACCAAACTCAGTAATACAGTGTAGCACCTGGCTCTGTGGTCAGTGATAAGATATTTCATTGGATTCCATGAACGGTAATATAGTATAGCATTTGACTAGTAGGTGAAATAATATAATGCATCTATGAATAACAGTTCTGTTTATGGAAGAAATTTAAAAATCAACCAAGGAGAACTTGTTAGATGTAGAAACATTTAATTAGCAACAGATATGTATACATGGAAACAAGTTTACAAGCACAACTGCAAATTAGGAAAATGGCAAGTGGCCTGTTGCCACATAAGTAATGGTGCCTTATGAGATTAATTACATGTGCAACCACTGATATTTTTTTCTTTAAACTGCTACTGACAATGACCTGCAGTTGTAGTGTCAGACTGTTTGTGATGGCATTTCTGACAGCTACCTTATCCATTAAACGCTTGTGTATGCTATTGGTTTTGCCAAGACTGCGGTCTGTATAAATTGTTTTCACAAAGAACAGCAACGGGCATTTTATTCTGTTTTCATTATCACACGTACGGAGCAACTATGGTGGTGACCCATCATCTGTGAAGCTGGAGCTGCAGTTACCTGAAAGTCACAGTAATAACAAACTACTAAATCTGAATTTGTCTAGAAAAAAAACCACAAAGCCAAAAAAATCTGGGGTTGCTTGTAAAGTGATAACAGACACAGTATAACTGTAGGGGGGGGGGGGGGGGAAGTCATGGGAAGTAAAGGCGGTCAGCGTGATGTTGACACATCACCCACCGAGTAGCCGACTATTGTGTCCACTCCGCCTGAAGGTGGGGAAAAGGATCCTCTACTTTTTAACTTGAACAACAAAGGTAGACAAAAATGTCACCGGTAGATCATGAGACAGATCACCAGACAGCTGCTGGGGGGTAAAATGTGCCCTGTCTGTGTATAACAAAAATAATGATTGACAATATATATTTACACTTGACATGGAAGGGAAGCTTGTCCTTCTCAGTGACCTTGAAAAGTTAGTGTAGATACCAGCTGGACCCGCCAAACTGGACAGGTCGAAGGGTAGAGAATGAACAAAGAGAGACAGACGATTTGGTCCCCCATCCTTGTTGGGGGTTGAAATGAGGGGGCCGATACAGCTATCTTTGTAAAACCTCATTTTAACACAAAAAACGTATCAAAACCTCGAATCTGGATGAATTTATTGTGTTGTAGGACAAATAAGAATACTTGATTATGCAAATGACATGGATATGGTAGGAGAAAATGAGCTATACCCCTTAAAAACGAAGCAATAAAGATATGACACATTACACTAATAACAAGAGAGCGAAATGATCAAAACTCCATGCTCAAGGGTTTGGAATTCTAAAAAATTAAAAAATAATTTACAAATATTTATTTACATGTATGTTTGTTCTGTCAGTAATAAATGTTCCGCACAGTTAATGTGACTTTGTACAGCCTCATTTTGTCATGAAACAAGATATTTAAGCCTCAGAATTTGATAAATTTACTGTGCTAAAGAGAAACAACAAGAAGACTTGGTTATGCAGAAGACATAGTTGAAGAAAATGAACTGAAGATGGTAAAAACAACTTCACAAAGCAGTTCAGAAAGTGAGATTAGTTATCAGTCAAGATAAGACAGAATCTACAGTAATAACAAGAGAGGAACAGTATAAAAGACACATCAGAAATGGAATAAAACATTTACTTTAGTAAAGAAATGTAATAAACAGTTACTATTGTTAACAATTAAATATTCACTTTAGATAAGAATTACATTAAAACATTCACTTTGGTAAAAGAAATAAACATAGAATAGGTATACAATGTCCGCTGTTTTGCATTTGAATAAAACACCCACCTTATTCATTTGAGCAAAGAACCTGTTTAATATGCAAACAATGGTTAAGTAATAGAGTGGAAACATGGTAATGATGAAATCCCTGAAACCTGTGATAAAGCTAGGATCCTTGTTCATTATCCATAGGGATATAAATTGATCTTGCCTGGCAGATCAACCCAGCCTTAAATTATTAAGGGGTAATATCCTGGGAAGTAAAGGCAGTCGGCAGGTTGTTGACTACATCACCCCAATCGCCAGTTAGTCTATAAAACCTAATAGGTCAAGCACTGTGTGCCCAGGAGTTAGAGAAAACAAACAAATTACTGATTTAAGAATCATCACAGCACACCGGGCATACTCATAGATGCTCCGTCTCCCACAGTAAATGTTTTAAAATGTAGATACTGTTTCCATAGTGATTAAACACACTGACACACATTGTTTTCTTCCTCTTAGTTTAAAACAAAAAAAGCAGCAGTACTTACAATCTGCACATGCTCACACAGCACACATGTGGCACAGGTAATTTATGGTCAAGATTTGACAAATGTTACACAAAAGTTAATATTTCATAAATCATCTCTCACACACAATGCCAGGTTCATCAAGCTCTAACACACACTAGCAGTCACAAGGAAGAATAAATACAGTCGCTGCTTCATTTATTCGAATGTTTTACATTCTTGATATGTGTTGAAGATTCGTCAATTTTCATTGCAAGACAGAAATTGTTTTTAAAAACAACAACTGCCCCAAAAACTGATGTTTGTTTGTTTGTTTTAGTATCCAGAAGCCATGAGTTGTTAACCCTTAGGCTCGGTATTATGAATATCGCAACCTTTCGGCCTTGATTCCATTTTAAATACCGTAAATCTAGGAGAAATGTGACTTTTCTGCCCACCCCCGAAAGTGAACCTGGACCACAAGGAGTTCATCACCCACGCACAGCGCAATCCGGTTTAGCCAACTACGCTAGAGAGACGGGCCCCAAAAACTGATACTTCCGGTTGAGTTCAAATTCGCAGTAAATGTCACTTTTCTGACTTGCCTATAATGATCTGTTTATGAGACGTACAGTAAATGAAATTGGCTGTTTTTGCACCTGTGCGAAGTGATCAAGCCGACTGCCTCGCGCTCTGAAGGTCATGGGTTCCTTTCACAGCGGCGCCATTTAGTTCATGAGTGCAGTTTTTACTGAGATCCCTGGGAGTTGTCGCTGGAGCTGCAGAGGTCATGCTCTGTGTGATGCTCTCAGCTGGCGGCTAGCTGTTCTGTAAGAGAGACTAAGCTATATTGCAATAAAAGCAGTTCCAATTAAGCTGCTCTTCTCAACTTCACTATATCTGTACATTTGACAGATAATAAACATTTTAAAATATAGATTAATAACTGTATTAGTTAGTATTTAGAGATCTATTTTTCTGGAATTCCAGCTGTATCGTGACTCCTGATTTTTTTGTTGCCTGAAAATCCATCTGGGTCATGACCCATTATATTTTTTCTGGAATTCTAGCTGGGTCTTGACCTCTAATTTTCTGGAATTCCGCTGGGTCATGACCCCATATTTTTTTTTTCTGGAATTATAGTGGGATCATGACCCATTTTATGAGTTTGTGCTATGGCAAGCGGCTATTCTGCGTAGAGAGACTGAGCCATATGGGATAAATCTGTGTGCAATGAAGTTGATCCTCTCGCCTGTAGCCTTTAACTTTAACCACATATCACAAACAATAACTACTCCCTTAGGAAATATGGCACGCTTTGAATGTCAAGGCTGTAGATTGACTACGTGGATGTGTGTGCATTAAACAGTTTGAACACATCGTACCAGTCTGCAGGCACGAGACGAAATAGAGACGGTTTCTGGAAGTACAGCTGCATATACATCGTCTGGTCATCATCAATGATGCCTTCCTCCATCCACCTGGCCAATTCATGTTTCTGCATGCGGTATAGTTCTCGAATCGCTGAACCGCCCCCAGCAAAAAACCCACCAGGCATGATGTTTATGCTCATTTTATGGATCTTCTGCCGGACACTGGCAAAAGCCGCAACTCCTGGCTTTCTTTCCAGGAATGTCATCTGGTCAGCATGCTCAAACAGCCCTTTGGGTATCCATATCCCATCAGGTGGATGAACGTTTTCTCCTTTTCCATATCCACCATCCATCCAGATGAAGTAGGTTGAATTAAATGGGTTTAATGTCACAGTTCTGTGGAAAACAGGAAAAAAGTATCAGAGAAATTTGTAGTTTTAGTTTCTCTCCATGTCGCTATATCTCTCATGTACACACGGACATAAGCACGCACACACACACATACATACAGACTTACATATATATATATATATACATCCTGTTACCACATAAAGGCTAAAAAGTCAACCTATCCATAAAGTTCAAAATTTAGTACAATTCTATCTTGTCCATAAATTAAAAACTTTACAAAGTCAAACAAACTAGCCCGTCCATGAATTGGAAAACTTTACAAGGTCAAACATACTAGCCCATCCATGAATTGGAAAACTTTACAAAGTCAAACATACTAGCGCATCCATGAACTGGAAAACTTTACAAAGTCAAACATACTAGCCCGTCCATGAATTGGAAAACTTCACAAAGTCAAACATACTAGTCCATCTATCAATTTCCAAATTGGAAAACTTTACAAAGTAAAAAATTCTAACCTGTCCATGAATTGGAAAACTTTACAAAGTCAAAGATTCAACATGTCCATCAATTTTAAAATGACAAAAGCCAAACAGTCAAGCCTGTCATCAAGTTCAAAATGGGAAAACTTTGCAAGGCCAAACCTGTCCAAACATTTCAAAATTACAAAACTTTGCAAAGCCACACCTGTCCAAACATTTCAAAATTACAAAACTTTGCAAAGCCACACCTGTCCAAAAATGTCAAAATTACAAAACTTTGCAAAGCCAAACCTGTCCAAAAATGTCAAAATTACAAAACTTTGCAAAGCCAAACCTGTCCAAACATTTCAAAATTACAAAACTTAGCAAAGAAAAAAGTTCCAACCTGTCCATCAAGTAGAGCTTGGACAACTGAACAATATCATATTCAGGACTAGAGGATTCACAGAGTTGCTTAGCCACTAGCTCATTGCCTTCCTTGTAGGTTTCACTGTTCATGATCTCTGCCATGCGATCCTTCAGTCTGTCAATGAACAAGCAAAACATGTAAAGCTTTTTATCATTTTCTGGAAACAATGATAGTGCAGTGGTTAACACGGTTAATTTGATGCAATGATAGTGCAGTGGTTAACATGGTTACTTTGAAGCAATGATAGTGCAGTGGCTAACATGGTTACTTTGATGCAATGATAGTGCAGTGGTTAACATGGTTACTTTGAAGCAATGATAGTGCAGTGGCTAACATGGTTACTTTGATGCAATGATAGTGCAGTGGTTAACATGGTTACTTTGAAGCAATGATAGTGCAGTGGTTAACATGGTTACTTTGAAGCAATGATGGTGCAGTGGTTAACATGGTTACTTCAAATCAATGATAGTGCAGTGGTTAACATGATTACTTTAAATCAATGATAGTGCAGTGGTTAACATGGTTACTTTGAAGCAATGATAGTGCAGTGGTTAACATGGTTACTTTGAAGCAATGATAGTGCAGTGGTTAACACGGTTACTTTAAAGCAATGATAGTGCAGTGGTTAACATGATTACTTTGAAGCAATGATAGAGCAGTGGTTAACATGATTACTTTAAAGCAATGATAGTGCAGTGGTTAACATGGTTACTTTAAAGCAATGATAGTGCAGTGGTTAACATGGTTACTTCAAATCAATGATGGTGCAGTGGTTAACATGGTTACTTTAAAGCAATGATAGTGCAGTGGTTAACACGGTTACTTGAAATCAATGATAGTGCAGTGGTTAACACGGTTACTTGAAGCAATGATAGTGCAGTGGTTAACTTGATTACTTTAAAGCAATAATAGTGCAGTGGTTAACATGGTTACTTTGAAGCAATGATAGTGCAGTGGTTAACACGGTTACTTTGAAGTAATGATAGTGCAGTGGTTAACACGGTTACTTGAAGCAATGATAGTGCAGTGGTTAACACGGTTACTTGAATCAATGATAGTGCAGTGGTTAACATGGTTACTTTGAAGCAATGATAGTGCAGTGGTTAACATGGTTACTTTGAAGCAATGATAGTGCAGTGGTTAACACGGTTACTTCAAATCAATGATGGTGCAGTGGTTAACACGGTTACTTCAAATCAATGATAATGCAGTGGTTAACATGGTTACTTTGAAGCAATGATAGAGCAGTGGTTAACATGGTTACTTCAAATCAATGATAGTGCAGTGGTTAACATGGTTACTTTGAAGCAATGATAGTGCAGTGGTTAGCATGGTTACTTTAAAGCAATGATAGTGCAGTGGTTAACACGGTTACTTGAAATCAATGATAGTGCAGTGGTTAACTTGGTTACTTTAAAGCAATGATGGTGCAGTGGTTAACATGGTTACTTCAAATCAATGATAGTGCAGTGGTTAACATGGCTACTTTAAAGCAATGATGGTGCAGTGGTTAACATGGTTACTTCAAATCAATGATAGTGCAGTGGTTAACATGGTTACTTTGAAGCAATGATAGTGCAGTGGTTACCATGGTTACTTTAAAGCAATGATGGTGCAGTGGTTAACATGGTTACTTCAAATCAATGATAGTGCAGTGGTTAACATGATTACTTTAAATCAATGATAGTGCAGTGGTTAACATGGTTACTTTGAAGCAATGATAGTGCAGTGGTTAACATGGTTACTTTGAAGCAATGATAGTGCAGTGGTTAACATGATTACTTTAAAGCAATGATAGTGCAGTGGTTAACATGATTACTTTAAAGCAATGATAGTGCAGTGGTTAACATGATTACTTTAAAGCAATGATAGTGCAGTGGTTAACATGATTACTTTAAAGCAATGATAGTGCAGTGGTTAACATCGTTACTTTGAAGCAATGATAGTGCAGTGGCTAGCATGGTTACTTTAAAGCAATGATAGTGCAGTGGTTAACACGGTTACTTGAAATCAATGATAGTGCAGTGGTTAACATGGTTACTTCAAATCAATGATAGTGACGTGGTTAACTTGGATACTTTAAAGCAATAATAGTGCAGTGGTTAACATGGTTACTTTGAAGCAATGATAGTGCAGTGGTTAACACGGTTACTTTGAAGTAATGATAGTGCAGTGGTTAACACGGTTACTTTAAAGCAATGATAGTGCAGTGGTTAACATGGTTACTTTGAAGCAATGATAGGGCAGTGTTTAATACAGTTATTTTGGAGCAACTGATAGTGCAGTGGTTAACATGGTTACTTTAAAGCAATGATAGTGCAGTGTTTAATACAGTTATTTTGGAGCAATGATAGTGCAGTTGTTAATATGGTTACTTTAAAGCAATGATAGTGCAGTGGTTAACATGGTTACTTCAAATCAATGATAGTGCAGTGGTTAACATGATTACTTCAAATCAATGATAGTGCAGTGTTTAATACAGTTATTTTGGAGCACTGATAGTGCAGTGGTTAACATGGTTACTTTAAAGCAATGATAGTGCAGTGGTTAACATGGTTACTTTGAAGCAATGATAGTGCAGTAGTTAACAAGCTCAGTTTCTGGCCTTGTAATCATGTGATCAAATCCTTATCCAGACAAACTTGATCAAGTTACCTGGACTCTCAGGTTGACCCAGCCTAAGAAATATTCTGGGACATTAAGTTGCCAAGTTGGATTTTGTAGTCAAAATTAACCATCCTTGTTGGTGTGGGGTGGGGGAGGGGGGGGGGGGGGGGGGCAGGGGGCCTGTATGATACAGACACAAAGGGCTTTAGTTTCTAGGAAAAAAAGGTGTCTGTACTCACCACAAATTCTCTACACACACGCTGAGGTATACCAGTACTCACCCAAATTCTCTACACACACGCAGAGGTATACCAGTACTCACCCAAATTCTCTACACACACGCAGAGGTATACCAGTACTCACCCAAATTCTCTACACACACGCAGAGGTATATCAGTACTCACCCAAATTCTCTACACACACGCAGAGGTATACCAGTACTCACCCAAATTCTCTACACACACGCAGAGGTATACCAGTACTCACCCAAATTCTCTACACACACGCAGAGGTATACCAGTACTCACCTAAATTCTCTACACACACGCAGAGGTATACCAGTACTCACCCAAATTCTCTACACACACACAGAGGTATAACAGTACTCACCACAAATTCTCCACACACGCTGAGGTATACCAGTACTCACCACAAATTCTCTACATACACGCAGAGGTATACCAGTACTCACCACAAATTCTCTACACACACGCAGAGGTATACCAGTACTCACCACAAATTCTCTACACACACGCTGAGGTATACCAGTACTCACCACAAATTCTCGACACACACGAAGAGGTATACCAGTACTCACAATAAATTCTCCACACACACGCAGAGGTATACCAGTACTCACCAAAAATTCTCAACACGCACGCTGAGGTATACCAGTACTCACCACAAATTCTCTCCACACACGCTGAGGTATACCAGTACTCATCAGAAAGTGTCCATTATAGAAGTAATGAACAAAATTATGCCTTAAAAAGGTGCCGGTACTGTATACCGTCAACGGGGTAAAAGCCACATAGACAAGCATTTTTTTGGGGGGCCGTAAGTTGGGAAGAGAGTCATTGGAGAACATAGTGGACACTGGAATGGTCAATGGCAGACAAGGCAAAGTCAGACCTAGAGAGATGATGCTGGATTTACTCAGACAGCATGTGGGTTCTAGGCCCCATTCTAGAGGGACAACAAACACCCCTCTGCCCCTAAACAAGGTTAGGTTAGTTGCGTATCCTTTACAGGACGTTGCAGAACCAACCCCAGCAGCCCCCCTGGCTATTGTGTGGTTTCTCTAGGCAAATTTACGTCCAGTAGTTTGCCATTGCTTCCTGGACGGTCAGCCCCCTGATACCACTGTCGAAACCAACGCAAGGCGCATGGCCTGCAGCTGGGATCGATCCCGGCACCCCGGCATTACGAAGCGTTCGCATTGACTTAGCCACAGAGCCGACGCCCACAAACAAGCATCTCGTAAAAAAAAGTGACTCTTTAGGTATTTGCAGACATGGGATGTTTGTGGCTGACAGGCCCAAATATTGTAAGCAGCCTTGCTGTGAAGCACAACACAACGTATCAACAGAAGAAGATGTCGAGTAGTGGTATGATAGAGTTGTAGCAGTAGTTGTATTAGATTTCGGATCCAATTCGCAAATAAAACAAGAAACCAAGCAAGATAATGTATCAAATTTTAAAAGAAAGCGCCGCTGGAACTACATCGGCCTTGCATTCAGAATGGATAAGACAAGACTTCCCGATCAAGCCCTTATATGGAAACCGGAGGGAAAAATAAAACGGGAAAGCCAAGACAGACCCTGTCTAGAACCATTATCAGGGAAGGCTCAGAACTGCACACAAATAAGCCAGTAAAACGGATGTACGTGCAAAACTCAGGCCCTGGCACAAAGCCAAAGTCCAAACGGACAAACAATAAGAATGTTCTGCTAGAGCTTACAGCCGGTGAGCAAAGAAGAAGCAGTTGTATTAATAAATTGCTTGACCTTGCCAGGCAGGTCTCTGTCGCAGTCTTTCAGCTCAACAGGTAATTTACACTGAAAGATATGCACATCAGTGCCAACTGGCAGAGAGCATGATGGTGATACCTGACTAGCAGTATTAACACAAGTGAGATGTATCAGTGACAACTTACTGAAAGTACGGCAACTCCTGAATCGTCATGGTCACAATCGTTGTGTGGTTCTCGCGACCTCGCCGCATCCATTCAATAAATGGCTTTCCTTTAGGATCCACGTAGACCACAATGTTGACGTCCAGCCTCAGTACTCTCTGCATGTACAACAGGTAGGTACTGTAGCTTCGGGCTTGACTGTCCCAGTCGCCTCTCCCGATGTCGATCATCGCCGTCACCAAGGTAAAATTGTACAACCCTGTAGATACAGAAATAGGTTAATGCAGACATGTCATTTGTACTGGACTCATTGTGTCACAGAAATACGTCATTGCGGACACGACATTTGCAACAGGATCTACATGGTGACAGAATACATAACTGCGGACTGCCATATACACTGGAATCCACATAGTAACAGAAATACGTCATTGCGGACTGCCATTTGCAGTAGGGTCCACATGGCGACAGAAATACGCCATTACGGACACGCCATTTGTACTAGAAACCACACTGTGACAGAAATACGCCATTACGGACCTGCCATTTGTACAAGAATCCACATGGTGAAAAGATTGTGACGGGCCTGCCATTTGCACTGGAGCGCACAAGGGTAGCAGAAATGCGTCGTTTTGGACACGTCATTTGCACTGAAACCCAAAGGGCCACATCATTACAGGCAAAAACAACACCGAAAGAAGAATTTAAGGGTTAGATTCAATCTGAGCCCGAGTTAAGAATCTTCTTCTTTACGTTCACTCATGCAGAAAGTCCCGGCTGTTCGTCCACTTCTGGACTCCAGTCTTGTTTCAGAAATTGAGTTTTGCGTGCACGTCCGTTTTACACATGTGGCTTATTTATATGTAGACTTTTTTTTTTCGGGCTCTCAGGCCGATGCGCTCCAACTTCGAAGGCAACTTCCAACTGGTCGACTCTTACGAGTGATTAACCCACTCACCCCGGTGTTTAAAAAAATATGGGGAAAGGGGGGGGGGGGGTGTTTGACTTTCTTGGTATGACCAGTTTTCGGCTGCAATTATTAGTCTGGTGTGCTGTTTTCAGCTAAAGATAGTATGGTCACCCTAGGAGGGACAACGTCAAGAAATCGACAAGACTAATTAATTATACACTTGTTTAACGAGCAAAAGACAGACTGTGGGTTTTGTGTGATAGTGCTTCCATCGACACACCGCCATGATCCTAGCGTGTCAAGGGTTATATATGGTACAGACTACCAATAACAAGCTTTAAAACGTTTAGGTCCTGTGCAGTCTGCACATGCTACAGGTTGCTCAAATTCAGCCTTCATTATCAATCAATCAATCAATCAGGTGCCGTCTCCACAATGAAGGTTAGCTGCACTAGATCTCCCAAACGATCTGTTACTTGTCTTGATTGTAAATTCTTTCACAGCGCTGCTCATCCATCTCTTGATTTTGACTTCCCACTTGTATCGTTGTCTACCTCTTGCTCTCTGACCTGCGACTTTTCCCTCCAGTATGGTTTTTTAAAAGAGTGTTACGTTTTTAATGTGACCGAAATATTTCAAATGATTATCAATATCACTATCAAATTCATCAAATAATCATTAAAATTATAAAAAATGATGATTAGAATTACAAATGGTCAAAAAACTATATAAATAATTTTTATAAGTATAGACAATATTATTACAATTCTACAAATTATATTCATCGTGTTGTTAACAAAATTATTTTTGTAGATGGCAAGGACCCAGATGGCGGGAAAAAAACTGTCAACTAATTGGCGGAACCTGAAGGTATTCGTGTGTGTAATTTGAACAGTTTCATTCATTAAATTCCACATATTTTTTATGTTAAAATTATGTTCTTTTTAGTGGATATGCGTCTCTCTCTCTCTCTCTCTCTCTCTCTCTCTCTCTCTCTCTCTCTCTCTCTCTCTCTCTCTCTCTCTCTCATTTTGAAGAATAGATGCTCAAGTCACACTCGTTCACCTCTGATCTAGACACATGGTGTGAAAGAGCTATGAAGAAAAGAAGGAGAAGAAGAGGAGAAGGAAGAAGAGGACAGAAGGGAGAAAAAGGAAGAGGTGATGGTGATGATGACGACAATGATGATGATTTGCAATCAAAGAGATCAGCAGGCTATTTTTTTATAAGTACCTCAAGTAGGAGGTACTTCACTTTGCTAATCTTTTTCCCCCCTCCCCAATCAGAGCCTCACGATGACACAGATCGTCACCATAGCAACGTTTGAAACACTAGACAGCACACACACTTTCGTCGTGAATTTCTTAATTCGTTGTATTGATCGTGACCCTGAGAACTACAGTCTGATTTTATGTCTTCGGCCCGTTACCTGGTCCAGATCTGGGGCTACAGCAAATCGGGTTGTCGTCAATCCATTACAGCAAATCTCAGCAACCCGGATAATCTTAAAAATAGATTGCAATTAAGTCGACCAAGAAAAACATCATCAGCGGCGACTGGGTCGCCAACTGGCTGGTCAGTAGACGGCCTCGTCGTCGGTCGGGTCAATATTTGCGTCTGTCTCCTACGATCAAATCAACACAGCATGAGTTTTTTTTTAAAGGGCTTTTTGACGATGGCGCACATAAACCTAATCACAATTATAACCAAAAGCTCCCCCTTGGGGGATGATGGTTAAACGTGACGATTTTTATTTCTCAAAATCGGATCGGATCAAAGCAGCGATACCGACATCCTAGATGATCTAATAGTTAGTTGCGTATCCTTTACAGGACGTTGCAGAACCAACCCTAACAGTCCCTGGCTGTTGTGTGGTTTCTCTAGGCAATTTACATCCAGTAGTTTGCCATTGCTTCCTGGACGGTCGGCTTTCTTGATACCACTGTCGAAACCAACACAAGGCGCATTGCCCGCAGCTGGGATCGAACCTGGCATCCCGGCATTACGAAGCGAAGCGTTCGCATCGACTTAGCCACAGAGCCGACCCTAGATAATCTAAACATCAAGAAAAACTGGTTCTTAAACAACCTCCTGTGCCGGAAACAGGTCTTTTGGCCATGTTAAACGTCACGGTGACAGAGAAATTTCGTTCAAGGTTTGAGGTTTGAACAACGAATCAATATCATGACACAAGGGTAATAACCCATAAGTGTTCTGTTCTTCTTCTAAATTAAGTTTGAGTCTGAAGTAGCTCAGCGCAGTGCACGGGCTCCGTAGCACCAGCGAGGATCCTTGAATAATTTGGGTAGATTTGTAACTCCAAATTTTCCCCGGCAAGCGCCGTTAGGCTACTTTTTTCGATTTCCAACTGCCAATTGATTTTTTACATGTGAAAAAATGCACACGGGCGTCTAATCTCACTACCCAGAGACCAAAACCATAAGATCAAGTTCACTTGAAAAAACCCAGCCTTCACATGGGCCTGAACTCGGGGCCTCTAGCACTTAAGGAAGACACCATGCGCGCCCCCCCCCCCTCCTCCAGCCAAGGTTAGCAAAGTTCGGTACAGTGTGGGACTCTTATCACACCCCGAGTGCTCCTGACATTTAAGAGTTAGAGGTGAAGCTTGTTTTATTCTAGTGGCACGCAACGGTAAGCGGTACTGACATCTTTTTAGTTATAATTTAATCAGCTCTACGGTCTGAAACACTTTGTGGTGAGTATCAACATCTGCTTAAGACACCGTGGTAAGTACCGGCACGTGTTTAAGGCACGTTGGTGGGTACCGGCACCTGTTTAAGGCATGTTAGTGAGTACCGGCACCTGTTTAAGGCACGTTGGTGAGTACCGGCACCTGTTTAAGGCATGTTGGTGAGTACCGGCACCTGTTTAAGGCATGTTGGTGAGTACCGGCACCTGTTTAAGGCACGTTGGTGAGTACCGGCACCTGTTTAAGGCATGTTGGTGAGTACCGGCACCTGTTTAAGGCATGTTGGTGAGTACCGGCACCTGTTTAAGGCATGTTAGTGAGTACCGGCATCTGTTTAAGGCACTTTGATGTGTACAACACATCAGACAGCTAAACCCCCCCCCCCCCCCCACTTACCGAGACAACAAGGGATCAATACAAGTAAAGGTCCATTTTCCACGCCCTCGGGCATATCCGTTTTATAGGACTAGACCTAGATTTGATAGACCAATCAGCACTTGGTGGATGATGTGATCAACATCATGCCGGCCGCCTTTACTTCCCCGGATATCCCTGGTAACCACTCAAGGCTAGGGAGCCAAGGTCATTTAAAAAAAACTTGGCTTCGTGAAGACCTGAACCCATGATCCACCGATCAGCAGCCATCGTCTAGCTGCTATACCACGACGGCTTCCCTGGAGAAACCTTATGTAATAATTGTGCGTGTGTGTGGCCAGCTTATCGTGACTGACTAATTCCATCAACGACAAACTGCATTTCTGGTGACGACTGTTGGTTTTGGCGCCTCTAGTAACTGCCCCATGCTTTGGCTATTTGCGTATATTTCTGGATTGTGTCGGGACTAATTATTTGTTCACCAGTTTTTCAAATGAGATAGTGAAGGACATTTCATTTGATTTTCACTAGAACAGGATTGTAGCATGTACAGGGTCACCCGAATGAAGCCAAAGTGAAACCTCGAATACTACTACAATGGGGTTAATAAGTTCACGGGGAATTGTTGGATTTATTTTTTTTCAGAAGCCGTAAGTTGTTAACCCTTAGGCTCGGTATTATGGATATCGCAACCATTCTGCCTTAATTCCATGATAAATAGCGTAAATCTTGGAGAAATTTGGCTTTTCTGCCTACCCCTGGGCGTGAACCATTACCAGGCTAGACAGCAGTGCTGAATTGTTGGATAAACGTTAGAGACACAGAAACATAGCTAGCTTTTTTTCGGGTCATGTTTCCTTTTTATGTTTTGCAAACAACCGGTTACCACAGTTCGCTGGCAGTTTTATTGCAGGGGATCGTGTTTTGTGCATTCACAGACTTTTATTTTAGCTAGTGGTAGAAACATCAGGGTGCAAGTTTAGGAAAATAAAAATGCGCTTAAAAATTGTTTTACAGCTAGAGGGATCGTCTATACTGCCTTTTTTTCTCTCTTCAAATTTCACAAAGAGGCGCCAGAACCTAAGGGTTCATGTCCCTTCAGCCCCTCCTCCCAACAATTTTGTAGGGAAAATAGAAACTCCTATGATAAAGTGTCTAAATTTTCTTAGCAGTTAACGTTTGAACATTTAATATTATTTTAATTATTTTACTATATTTTTTTTTGCGTTTTGTATCGTAATAATGATTATATGAATATTATTAA